AGTTCATAGTAAAAATGATTTCTTTTTCGAAATAAGCAAAAGTTACAGAAGTCGTTTGTGGGACATTTAACACTTAACTGAAACACCTAACTATTAACCTACAGAATACCGGTACACAACCCAACTTTTTTCCAACACTGACGCACGTACGAAGTGTCAGTTCCGTTTCCTCACACACGCTTTCCGCTTTATTGCTTAATTCCTTTGCTTGTCATTTCCTTCTCATTTGGTGTTGCCACGTAGAAATTCAATTTAAAAACATTTAATTATATTATTTCTTAAAATGTTGTTACGTTTTATATATATTTTGAACTTTAATTAACAAAAATAGTTATTATTTTAAATAAAAGTAGTTGTTATTATTATATTTAAAGATAATATTTTCGATAAATCAATGTGGAGAACTGATGCTACCAACTCACTCAGCCTATAAATAATGCTGATCAAATGGTTAGTCAGTCGACGCTCATTAGCTTATGTGGGATAGTATTTTTCTACAAAATAATAAAGCGTCAACTAAAATGTAAAACAGCATATCTTCGAAATTGGGCTTTTTATTGCTTGCGATTCATTACATCATTTTACATATACGTGGCATAAAATTGACAGCACCTGCTGTCAAATATAACCAATATATAACCATTTTATAACCATTTCATGCTCATTTTATAACCAAAATACATATTTTGTTTCAATATGAGTGGTTTTTATCGTTTTCCTACACATGTAAACTTATTTCGCATTTTAAGTGGCTGGCGATATATGATATATTTAAGGATTTTTATAGTAGTTTCATGATTACATTTAAATGAGTTTAGCAGCCTAGGTGTGTTTTTCACTTATTTTAGTAAAGCAGCAAAATATATAATTTTGAAAATAAAAACTAAAAACCCCTTTTATTTTGCACTTTTATAAATTTTAATAGAATTAAAATAATTAAATTCAAAAAAGTTGCAGATGGTTTAGTTACACACATGAATTTTTTATAAAAAATCCACTTCCCTCTCCATTATATATTTTTTTTACTCACTTATTTATTTTATTGAATTTATTTCAAGAATACATTATGTACGAAGAATTTAAATTAATTCTTCCAATATATATTCTAGCATAAAATAGAGAAAATAATACAATATAATAAATTACAATAAATAAATTTAAAAAAATTAAAATAAATCACATACATTAAGATATTCTAATCTGGCATCCTTGCTTTGCGGATGCCAAATTATAGTTCAGTGCGCAGGAAAAGGCAAAAGCGCAAGCTCTCCTATTCAATTGTAAAGTGAAAAGTGAAGTGATTGTAATTATTAATAGTTTAAAGAGAATTTATTAAAATGAAATGGAAACATTGCTCTTTTAAAAAGTGTGTTAAGTGAAATTAAAGAAATATTTTAAGAATTTATAGCAATAGTCGAAAATAAAATAAACCAGTAGCTGTTGCGAAGTTAGTTCAAATTTGTTGGTAGATGCATACAGTAAAGCGCAACGACGTCAAGTCGGCTTGATGCGGTACGGTTCGTGTGTGTTTCTTTTGATGTTTTGTTTCTCGTGTGAAATATATGTAAGTAAGTGTGTTTTGAGCACTGGATGATTTGTTTTTGCGTTGTTTTTGTTTGCGTTTCTTTGGTTTGGTCAAGTGCGTAAGAAGTTAAAGTGAATTTTAGGCAAAATGTTATAACGTAAATATGGAGATTAGATTTTTGCATAGATCCTTCGGCGCATGGTTGGATGAATTATAGTGTATTGGTGAGTTATTTTCATTTTAATATTTAAATATATAATTATATCATATTACAAAGTGCCAATTTATTGATAATTTACAAAAATACACACCATTATATGCACATGATACTTAATAAAACCCATTAAATTTAAAAATGAATTGTCCTATAACTCTTCGAGAAAAGTTTTTATGCCAGAAATAAACTCGAAAAAAACTATTGCCATGACTCAATCAGACTCTGCAAACTTCAGAGGGTTTAAAAATTTATTTTAATTTTAATGTTGAATAAATATTCTCAAAAATATAAAAATATTCATTTCATATATTTTAGCCACTAAGCTACAAGTTAATATGTTAATTTTTTCATTAATAAAACTTAGATATTTGTCGTCGATCGATTTGATTGTCGTCATAGTACTTAAATAGGTTGCTTAAAAAAATCTACAATTATAGTCGAAATAACAAGTGTACGCAGCTTTTGCTTGATAACATTGAATTATTTGTAATTAAAACAGTTTTAGTTATATCTTTGCTTTACTTTATTAAACCTAAATATGTTTGAAATCTTTCACCAGGAATATTAAAACTGAACTCTTTTTCAAAGCAAGAAATATCATTGACCAAAATTATACACCTATTATTTTTAAATAGTTTTTTTTTCTAATTAAAAAAAATTCTAATTCAAATGTTCAAATTATACTTAGTTCGTCCACGGGTTTTTAATAACCTGTATACCCGCCGTGGGTCTTCATAAATGTTCCAATTCGGTTTGGTATGGATTGAGTTAATTTTCGGCAGGTTTCCAATAGGGTATCATCCTAAAGTTCCTTTTACTAACACCACAATTGCCATTTATTTTGAAATCAAAAGGCTGCCAATCTCCTCTTAAGGTCACTCCACAAGTTCTCAATCGCGTTGGGATCAGGGTGACATTACATACATACAGTTTACATTTGCATCCTTGAACCATATGGTAGCATAACGTTTTTAAAAATTTTCCGTACTCAAAGTTGGTCATTGAGTCCTTTATTGAAAATAAAAGAGCAACTGCTTGCCAGGAGAAACATCTCCACACCAATATGTTGCCATCCAATTTTTAATTTTTTTTTATGGTTTATCTACAATAAAATTCCTTACATATAGGCCCGCGTATAGTTCTTTTACAATCATTTCCGTAATTACTAATCTTAAATTCATCACTGAATAAAGTATTTTTCCACTTTTTCTCTGCGTTGAGACCGCACCAACTTTTTTATTCAGCGGCAACAGCTTTAATCTTCTGTATGTCGATCTTTCGTAGAAGAGAAATTTGTCTGATTTTACGCCTCGGTAAATTACCGTTCACTAAACGACGCCGAATTGTCCGTGAGCCAACATTTAGTTCAGCTTCTGCTGCAATATGTCGATAAGTCATAAAAGGGTCCTTTTTTGCTCTGAAAAGTAGACGGCGATTATCAATCGGTCTTGTTTTTCTTGTACGACCACGAGTTTCTTCTTCATTTTTTTTATTGTAGAGAATTAGTAACAAAGTTTTCCGACCGCCCTAACATATTTGCAATGATTTCGTACGTTTTTCCTTCGTCACGCAATTTTTTTCAACGCTCGCTATAGGTGCAGTGGCTTTTACGACACATTCTAAATTGAATTTTCTTTGGAGTTTTTGGGGTTCAAAGGAATATATATTTACAAATTCTCCAGGTCTTAAATTTATGTGAAAAATACTTTGAAATAACTACTGATTTTGTTTTTTTAATTAATTATTTATTCTATTTGCCAACCCAATTTGATAAAGCAATGATAATTTGTCACTCAAATACAAGTTGTTGGTTCACTTAACCACTATCACCCAACAGATGTCGCCCTTGCCATGTGTTCAAACTAAACAAACCGCCTCTGAACTGCTTTCATTTTTCCCGATAGAGGTCGCAATTACTTGCAATCAACTATTCCTTACTTTAACTGTTCTCGAGTGAGAAAAAAAATTCTTGCTAAGCCTTATGTTGCTGCAACATGCTGATGGAATGTAATTAGCCAATTCAAGCACCCAAGTGAGAAGCTTAGCAAAGTTTTCTACACTAGATGGCTTAAAGTTTCAGCAAAATTTCATTGGTATAGAAACTGAACATAGACTATGCTGTATTTTGGGTCTGCGACGCAACTAGTTAGTTTACGGTGAGGTCTCTTGAATAGAACAACTAACGAAGCAAAATTATGGGTTGATTACAACTTAAGGGGGTATTCTACTCTAGAAATCAAATTTTGGGCAGTTTTTTGAATTCTATTTAAAAAAAACAACCAAAAATATTTTTACTATCCATTTTTTATGGTGTTTTTATTGATATTATATCTTAAGAATACAGAAAAAAAAATTTACTATATAATATTAAAAATTAAAATAATTGGCGGGGACGGGGGGGAGGTTACGGTAGAGAGACAGGTGTAAAAAAAAAATGGCGCATGCTGGTGACATTGATCCTGACTCTCCTGGTGGTCTAAAAAAAATCAAAAGAAATTCCTAATCAGTAAGGATGCTGTTATAGTTATTATATCAGGGAACACGAAAAAAAAAAGTTTTTTGAAAAATGGCAACCGCCTGAAAATAAAAATCATTTTTTACGGTTTTTTTATTTTTTTTTTTTTTTAATTCTTAACTTTTCAAAATATTAACAATATTATATATATATATTAAGATAAAGGATAAAGGATTATATAAAGAAAGTTCACACAAAATTTCAAGTAAAAAAAGGTAAAGTAACCGTGTGGAAAAAAGTACTTTCGAGAAAAACTCGTTTAAAAAAGTGAGTCTACCTACCTACCGGGCTAGGTACCGCGTCACTAAAGTAACTGTAGCTCTTAAAGTAATTTTAATTTTTAAAAACCTTTTGGAGTATACGTTCTTAAGGATCTAAACTTTAAATATATGAATAAAAATCTAGTTTTTCAAAATTCTAGAGTAGAATACCCCCTTAAGGCTAGAGTTATAATTATGGATAGCACTGACAACTAATAGCTTGTGATAAATTCTAATAATAATTATAATAAACATTCAAAGCCACCCACTTCATTACGATCACAGATCATACAAGCCAAACTTTTAATATCACAAAGAAAATTTCAAAAGAAAATTTAAAATCGAAAAGCAATTTTTCTCTTCTTGATAAAAATGCAAATAAAAAATTGTCTAGAAGGCAACGCTTTGACTTCTTGATTCTGACTTTCCGTGACACAAACACAGTTTTCTTTTAAGTTTTATGAATTTGTTTTGAACGATGCCCAAATGCAGGAGCCGTTCGGTCGCGCGCGCGTCTATCTCACCATACTGTTGTTGTCGGAAATCTTGCTCGGCTTGGCCATTATAATCGTAACGGCCATTTATCAACGCATACTGGGCGCTTACATGGCAGATGTCGAGCGAAAAATGCTGGGCGGTCAATTCTTCAACACCTACATACTCGGTTTTCAACTAATGGTTGTGTATGCCTGCAGCATTGCCATGTGGTCCTCGCTGTGGTCGCGTCGCTGTTCACCCAACGTCAATTTGCTACTCAATCTGTGGATGTTCTTTTGTTTTGTGGTCGTCTTCTGCGGGTTCGGCACCATTTGGTCATTGATCACGTGCGCCGATGCGTTGGAGAACACAGCGGAAATGTCGCTACTTAAGGGTATCGATCTCTACTACACATGCCCAGAGTGGAAGCTGCTTTGGGACGGTTTACAGTATCATAAGGAATGTTGTGGCGTGCACAGTTACAAGGATTGGATGAAGGCCTCCTGGATGCCAGCAGAGGCAACGGAGTGTCAGTCGGCGAGCAGGTGAAGTGTTGCGTGAAATATACAGTTCAATAAAAATTAAAGAAAAGTTTTGTTGAACGATTTCTTAGTGAAACCGCTTTGGCGCCGTACGCTTGTTGCAAGCACACGTGCGCCACCTGCTTCGAGAATTATATACCGCGCACCGACAACAGTCGCATACCCTACCTGACGCTGTCGCAGATCAACACCGAGGGCTGTTTGCCGCTGTTCACCAACAAAATGTGGGAGATCCTCTATGTGCTGATTGCGCTGGTGCTGATTGCCTTCAAATTGGACGTGAGCTCCCGCCAGCATTGCTACACATTGATTTTCGGCTACATTTCATGATTTCTTTTAGCTCCTCATCTGCTGTTTGGCGAAGTATATCATACGCAAGCAAGCCGAAATTGACTGTTGCACTTGCGACAATGATGCTTGCGATGATGACGACGGGCGTCCGATGGTGGTTGTGGTGCGTCTCAATGTATTTCTTGCTTTTATTGTGGCCAAGTTGCATATTTCCACATTTTTTTTACTTGCTTAGAAATGTCCTACCACACGCTGTGTCAAGTTCGACGGCGATGAGGGCGGAAATCCGCAGGTGGCGTGTAAGGTGGGCAGATCACATGGCGGCATGAGCGAGCCTTGCACGTGCTGCAGCGGCGACAATATGTTGCGTGGCTATACCGTTAAGCAGGAAGTGCTGCACATGTCAACACCGTCACCAACGCAACGCGCCACACGCTTCTGCAACTGCAGCGCTGGCGGTGGTGTTGGTGGCGCTGGTGGCGCCAATGAATCTCGTATATTGCATTAAATAAGTTTAAGTGGCATTTACACCGAGTGCGAATTGTTGCCGAAAAGCATTTAAAATTTCTTTACTTTATATTTATATTACATTTGGTCTTAAATTTATTTATTTTTAGGTAGTTTTACTTGTAATAAAGAATTCGTTATTTAGCCTATTGTAACGTTTGTTTAATTTTGAAGTGTTCCTCTATTTTTGGACATTTTAGCGTAGTAAATTGTTTCTAAATTTTTGGTCTCAATCTAAAAGATATCAAATTATATACAGTCGTATGGAACTGTCTTGGAAATCAGCGTTCAGCTTCAGCTAATTTTGTTTTATCTCCTCGATCAACTGAAAACGGGTTCTACGGAGTGGCAATTTCAGTTTGGTGAACAAGAGAAAATTACACGGAACCAAATCTGGTGAATGCGATGGTTGATCTATGGTATTCATTGCGTTTTTGGCTTCAAATTCGGTCTTATCTCGATGCTATGATGCATTACAATGGTGTAAAATCCATAACTTATTCTTTCTCTATTCCGACCGTTTTCGATAGATTTTCTCACGCAAACGTCTCAATACGGCCAAATAGAATTCCTTATTGACCGTCTGACCCTCCGAAACTAATTCATGATGCACCAAACCTCGAATATCGAAAAAAAAAACAAGGAGCATCACCACGATTTTTCAGCGGCTTTGGTGTTTTTTTGTTTTTTTATACCCTGAACAGAGTATATTAATTTTGTCACGAAGTTTGTAACACCCAGAAGAAAGCGTCGGAGACCCTATAAAGTATATATATAAATGATCAGTATGTTGAGCTGATTCGATTTAGCCATGTCCGTCTGTCTGTCTGTCCTTCTGTCCGTCTGTCTGTATATATACGAACTAGTCCCTCAGTTTTTAAGATATCGTTTTGAAATTTTGCAAACACCATTTTCTCTTCAAGAAGCTACACATTTGTCGGAACTGTCGATATCCGAGCACTATAACATATAGCTGCCATATAAACTGAACGATCGGAATCAAGTTCTTGTATGGAAAACTTTCACATTTGACAAAATATANCCGTCTGTCTGTATATATACGAACTAGTCCCTCAGTTTTTAAGATATCGTTTTGAAATTTTGCAAACACCATTTTCTCTTCAAGAAGCTACACATTTGTCGGAACTGTCGATATCCGAGCACTATAACATATAGCTGCCATATAAACTGAACGATCGGAATCAAGTTCTTGTATGGAAAACTTTCACATTTGACAAAATATAYTCACGAAATTTGGTATAGATAATTTTCTAAGTCAACAATGTAATCTCCGAAAAAATTGTTCAGATMGGCTCACTATAGCATATAGCTGTCATATAAACTGAACGATCGGAATCAACTTCTTGTATGGAAAACTTTCACATTTGACAAGACATATTCACGAAATTTGGTACAGATAATTTTCCAAGGTAACAATGTAATCTCCGAAAAAATTGTTCAGATCGGCTCACTATAGCATATAGCTGTCATATAAACTGAACGATCGGAATCAAGTTCYTGTATGGAAAACTTTCACATTTGACAAGACATATTCACGAAATTTGGTATAGATAATTTTCTAAGTCAACAATGTAATCTCCGAAAAAATTGTTCCAATCGGTTAACTATAGCATATAGCTTCCATACAAATTGAACATATAGTTACTAACATAAATGCACCTGTGAAAGGTATTTAGCTTCGGTGCAATCGAAGTTAATGTTTTTTCTTGTTTTTTTTGCATGTCAAACTTATAAACCCATGTCTCGTCGGCAGTTATAATGCTCTCCATGAATGTGGGTTCGGAACGCGCTCGATCAAGCATGTCCAAAGAGATGTGTTCACGGTACATAAATCAGCTTCATCGGAAGGAGTCGAGTAAGAACATGTTTCATACGGACTCGCGAGAGATGTCGTCGACCTCTCTTACTATCTCTCTAACAAGCATCATATCCTTCACTATTTTGTCTTCAACGATCAGTATAGATCGTCCGCTCCAATTTCATCAAATTAAGGGGAAAAAGTTGTTCAACAAGTTGTTATAACGTTAACTATTGACGATAACGGCATCTCCTGCCTCACTTCGAAAGAAATAAAGCCCGATGATGCCGCCATACCGCACCAAACGGTCAATTTTTGCAATTGCAATTGGGTTTCTTGAATCACACGACGATTTGATCACAAGAGCTACCAGGCAGCACTAAATAATGTAATATTTACAAATGTTGAACAATTGTAGTTCAATTGCGTTTAAGTTTAACCACAGCTTAACGAAATGCAACCGTTATTTGAAAAATTAATCGTTGGCGGTCTCCTTGCTGATAGCATTGACCCACGCGGCGATCATTTTATGTATCTTCATATGTATTTATGTATATATGTAAGTCTGTATGTTCGGATGTCGTCTGCAATTGGGTCGAGCGAATATTAGATGCTCGTTAAATTTTCGATAACGATCTGTGAATGCTTCTCGCCACAATAGTGGGCTAATTGTCAGCCAGACAATTTAAAGCTGAAAGTCAATTAATTTTGCGCAGCAATTTAACGCAACACCCGAATTTTTTTATTATTATTTTCTGTGGCGAATTTTTTGAATTTCTACAAAGTGATAATTGAAACTGATTGCCTTTACGACTATATAAAAATTGAATATCTTTCGATTAAATCAGCGATACAGCTGATATACATAAGTATTTACATAGTTATGAACTTGTAATACTATGTATATATATTTATGTTCGTTAGGGTGGTCCTAAAATAACCTGGGAAGGTTTATGATGCATACGTGCGTATATACTTGGGTTTTGTATATGTACATCTGAAAAATTTCAGGAGCTTGCTGGGCGTGATATGATCCCTGTCCACGTAGATGGTTGCAAGAGCCTTGGGTCTACTTTTTCAAATCGCTAGGAAAACTAGAATCAGGTGTTCTGGAGTTTCCGCAAGTTTTCACAAGAAGCTGTGTCCATGTTGGACAAGTGTTTCTTGAGCTTGCAGCACCCAGTATAGAGCGCGACAAGAAGACGGAACTTATCTCAGCGGAGGTTGCTTATATATCTAAACCTTGCTAAGCTGTAACCTTTCAGCTTGGCGTGGTGCATTCCTGTTGCCTGCTGCCCATTCTCTCCCCACTCTCTACTCTGTGCGGAGCAACTCTTTTATGGTGTGGGACCCCATAGTAATGAATGGTTTTGGCTCCATCATTCTGAAAGCCGCCGCAGAGAAAGAACCTCTTTATGCTCCGACACCCAGGTCACGTGTACAGGGTTGCAGACTGATAGGTGGTTCTTCCTCCTTCCTTCCTCCATTAATTGCGATACGCTGGTTGCATTAATTGCGTTGAATATTAATTTCTGCATACTAATACAGTGGTCTGGAGAGCTTAGCATGCGGTTCCGCAATGCCTGCTCTAATACCTTCGAGTTGTCAGTGTACCACTGGATAGTTCTGCCCCCCAGCTGTAGGTCGAGTATGAAACCCCTCCACTCCGCATTACTGCCGAGACTAATTTTAAAGTAGTTTATGCTCCCTTTGCTATAAGCAACATGCTTGATCACTAGATGGAGCGGTGTGAGCTCCAGTATGACTTCAAGTACTGTGTTGGGCAAGTGCGCATTGCTTGCGGCTGTTTGCGAATATATACCGCTGATATTTCATCCAGTACTTTTAACTCCGAAGTCCCTAGATATCTGAGCCGAATTCTAGTTCGGTAAGTAAGTTTGAACAGAGGCTGAGGAGCTGTTCTAGCGCTTATTTCTCCCATTTGCATTCAGTGACAAGAAAAAACGTTAACTTCGACTGCACCGAAGCTAATATACCCTTCACAGGTGTATTTCCTTTGGTAACTATGTGTTCAGTTTATATGGGAGCTATATGCTATAGTAATCCGATCTGAACAATTTTTTCGGAGTAATCCATTTTCGTGAAGATACCACGTCAAATGCGAAAATTTTCCATACAAGCCCTTGATTCCAATTGTTCGGCCTATATGGCAGCTATATGCTATAGTTAGCCGATCTGAATAATTTCTTCTGTTATCATCTTATTTCTATGAACAATAACTCACACCTAATTTCGTGAAGATACGTTGTCAAATGCAGAAGTTTTCCATACAAGAACTTTTCTGCGATCATTCAGTTTGTATGGCAGCTATATGCCATAGTGAGCCGATCTAAACAATTTCTTTCGATATTACATTATTTTTATAAGCAATAACTCACACCTAATTTCGCGAAGATACGTTGTCAAATTCAAATTGGTTTTTCATACAATAACTTGATTCCGATCGTGGCAAACTTAATAATACCCTGTTCATTAATCACACAATTTAACACAATGGCTGCCAGTATATCACCGGTGATCACGACAAGGAACTACTATATCAAAAAAAAAAAAAATCGAGGTGAAATGTTTATGCAATATTAAATTTGTGTTGGTCCCACTAAAGCCTATAGTTGCCTAAATCACACGTTATGTCAAATGACGACTCTGCAATATCAATTTGCATAGAACATCAATAGTTTCCGGAGCCACAAGTTATTAGGGACAACCTTCTCTGAGTTATCCATGATCTCGATTGAATTCACTATACCATCGATAAGCACTGGTCCTTGGATGGAACTGCCAAAAATTTAATTAAGTTCATTCATGTTCAACAGTTAAAACGAAAGTTGTAAAAAATTAACGCGCAAAAATGTTCGCGATATAATTCCAGACTTTTCTGAGCCGAACTGAATATTTTTAGTCACTGTAAACAACACAAATAACGCTCGTATATCAAAACTTTCTGAGAGTGTACTCGTATAACATAAAAAAGTCAAACTTTACGATAAAATTTTGTTTTAACAGCTTTATAAATTAGATTCACTTGACTATACCAGTTTACGATACTAAGAATACCAGTTGTTTGTTCGATTCGCTAATCTCTATGTTTTGATATATGTATTAGAAATAACTGATAATATAAAGGTGCGGCTATCAGATTGGGTAACGAATTATGATTGAGTATGATGAGTTCCCATACATGGCTACCAATAAAAAATAA